CCACCCTGATTTTATGCTTTTTTCCTTTTACATGGTGGAAATAAATATATCTTCCCAGTGGCATAAGCAGGTTTTGTTTTGAACTTTGCCTACACATTTTCTGCTACAAAGAAACTCCAAGATGAAGGTGTCTCCAGATACACCTCCAACCCACCCCCACCCCCTTTCCAGTGCCAGTTAGGGGCAGAGTTCAGCCCGTGTGTGATATATGTATACACACTGTATCAAGAGCTCCGAATTCAGGCTAATATCTGCAGTGAAGAGGAGGGAACATGAATTTGCAAATGCTCATATGTTTTTATTAAAATAATTTCCTTGTACATACTTGTGAAAAGTAGATGTGTTTCAATCAACCTGGTAGTGATTATTTTAGTAAATAGAGAACACACTACTTAAATTCAATAACATTTAATACCTAATAAATATAATTATGTCCACACTTGTTTTCTATACACTTATTATAGCTGAAATTATTGCTTCATTGGAACATATATTCCTGTAAGCTACCAGAAATCGTCTTTGGGATTTGATGTCAAAAAGAAAAAAAAGCAAAAAACAAATATAAAGATTTCAACAATCACCTATGTATAAAGCTATGAGTTGAGAAAAAGACTGTTGGTATGTCCAGGTCCTCCAGCTTTTGAAGGAAGTGTTGGTGCAGTGTCATACAAACCTACACAAACACATGTAACAAGGGAGCACACAGGTGCACACATGGCTAGAAGGACACGCAGTGTACACACACACATACACACACACACATACACACACAAGCTCATGCACTCATCATCTTTCTCCCTGCCACTCTGGGCAGGACTACGGATTGGACCCAGGGCCTCGCCTGCTCTACAAGGGTGCTCTACATGGCTGCATCCTAACCCTGTATGCGCTCATCTTGTTTGCTTTGCCTCACTGAGTGGCAGCTCTGGCTGGCTGGAAACTTCCTGCACCCGGCTGGTGTCTGCTTCACAGGTGCTGTGAGCAAAGGTGCACACGGTGTTGTCTTATCGCCTCTTGGCCATCCAGCTCCCTTCCAAAGGACTTGTATGTCCCAGATTCAGCTTTCCCCTGACGCCTTGGGGAGAATGTTGGTGTTCTCAGTTACCAAACTGATACAATGTTGACAGCATCAAAGAAAGAAAAAAAGTTCCATAGAATATTTTTCACTGAAGAAAGTCAGTGAGTGTGAGAAGAACAGCTCTCTCTGCAGCTGGTTGGGATATTTACTGCCAACCATTCCTGAGTAGTCACTAACGCAGGTCTCCAAAAGCAACATCCTGGGCTAGGGACCATATATGTTACAGGATTAGCATTCAGAAATAAAATCTCACCAGCTTCCATCTGAAATCATGCCATTAATTAATTATCAGCTGCTTTGATTAAAGTTTTTGCAATGTTATGACACTCCCATTAAAACACAAATATCCCCGAGGGAGATATAACATGCAAAGCTCATTACCAACAGTTTCCGTCTTTGGGGGATTATTTCAGGATTATCTGATGAAATGAATCACTTTCTACTTGTGAAGGTTCATGCGTAAATGGCTTCTGAATAAGCACAGTACGGAGTTACTTCTGTATTGCACTAACAGGCCATGGAGGAGAGGCTGATTGCCGCCAACTCTGCCTCCTAACAAATTCCTTCTAAGCCAAAGGGGTCATTGTATTCTTTGAGATACATATCCTTTAAGAGAGTTTACTCATTGAACCCAAAATGTCATTTTCAGCTCTGAATAAACACATTTGCCGGATTCTTTAAAGAGCTGACCTAAGTCTTTCTCTAATTCTCACAAAAATACCTTTAGCTGACTCGTTCTGTCCAACAGATAGAAAAGTGTTCATCATCCTTTTTGTTGTTGTTTTTCGAGACAGGGATTCTCTGTATGGCCCTGGCTCTCCTGGAAGACACTTTGTAGACCAGGTTGGCCTTGAGCTCACAGAGACCTGCCTGCCTCTGCCTCCAAAGTGCTGGGATTAAAGGCATGCACCAGGACCGCCACACCTGGCACACATCATTCTTGTCTCTCCCCCCCCCCCCAGGTCTCTCAGCGAGCCAGAATATCTGGCTGTCCCTGTGTATCTCCGTCTGTCTGCTCCCTGGACGGCTCCTCTTTATCAGACCGAGAGCCAGCAGGTCCTATGTCCTTTCCATCCTGTCCCTTCTCTTTCCTCATGGGTTTGCTTTCAGCCATGTAGTGACTTGACCAACAACCTTAGTTCTCTCCCATGCTTCTTGTCTTTCCAATCAGCGATGACAGCCTGGGGGTTCCCACTCTGGGACATCACACGTCCTTCTTCTCCTTCCAGGGCTACACGCTAAGGCATGTCCAGTCTTCTTGCTATACCGTTGAGAGAGTAGCTGAGCGGTCCTCCAGTGCAGTGTGATCTGACTTCATCTGCTGTCCGCTCTTACAAGTCCCATCACTGAACCCCCGTGCATCTACTCTGCCCGGATGACTAAGTAGCTCCACCATTATATGTTCCTCTGTACTGATGACTATACTGGCAACTCCATAAGTCTGGGATGGTGTCCTGCTCATGTCTCCCACACCTTTGGTTGCTTTGAGGGCAGCTCTGCCAAGAAATGACAGAGTTCTTCGAAGCCACTTAACACACTTCTGAGGCGGAAACTTTGGACCAGCTTCCAGCACTAGGAATCTGTGCTGGAAAGAGATGTGGCCCCCAACACCAGCATCTGCTGGGCGTTGTAGAAGGCAGGAGACCCAGACTGCCACTCTTAGACTGAAAAACACTTTCAACTTTCGGTGACTTTGCAGCTCGTAGTATTTTAAGTTTTATGCTCAAACATTTTTCTTGCACGCTCACAGACATATGTATGGGTACACAAATCCTCGAATGATGACATCAGAGGGCTCAGTTGGCTCTTGTTTATAAATCGCATCCACTCATTCCCAACACTTCACTTAGATTTTGAAATGATGTTCCGCACTCCACGGACACTTGACTGTCTTTTTAGGGGTACACGTATGCATGCTGTAGCGGGTGGACACTGAGTGACACTCAACTTGGCATTCAACGTGATCAGGAAAGCTGGCGGTGAAACGTACTAACCTAGGTATCTGGACAGGACAGGCTCAAGTTCATGTGTGGATCCACAAGGGTGCAGGGTTGAAATGCAGGCGTTTGACTCTTAGACCAGCAAAGCCAAGAGACTCTGCATCCCGGGGTGCTGTGGCATTTCCCCAGAAGGCTTGTTTTTCAGAGGGCAGCTCATGTTGGTCCCTAGTCTTACGTTATGTCTCAATTTGATGCTTAATTTGCTCCTTTTGGTTTTATGTATTTTTGACACAGCTAAGTGTGTAAGTGGATTCCCTGTAGTCCTTACTAAATGCTATAGAACTTTAACACGGGAGATAAAAACAACAACAAGTCACGCCTCCAAGCCCCACATTTAGTCCTTCATTTGAGCTGCAGGATGAGCAGTTTTAGGTCTGTATTTAATTCCCATATATCACACTGCTTTAACTGTGGTTGTACCTTGCCTGGCCTCTCTTCACTCAGATGGAAAGTAGGCTCTACCCTCAACCTGGACGTGGGGCTCTCACTGATTGATGGGGGAAAAGTCATCTTTAAAATTCTGAAATCATCATCTAACTGTCTATGTTGGCATGAGCCGGGGCAATTTAACATGGTTTGGAATGAAGCCAAGATGGATGCCCAGTGTTTCTGGTGTGCAGCCCTGTACTGTCTTTCAGAAAAACTGAAATATGCTGGCTATAGCCTCCTGTTTCCAGAATTGTTCTCCTGGCATCCTAATACCCTAAGACTCTTTGCGTCTTTGATGCACAAAGTTCAACAGAAACACCTCCTAAATAGATTAGTCGTAATGATGGTTAATATTTGCTGCTTTATTGAATAAAGCACATTTGCTTTAAAAAAAAGGAAATTCACTTAGCCGCATGTCAGTCACCCAAATTTTGAGTGTACAAATGAAATGGAAAACATTTATTACACAAATTTAATTACAATTTTAGGAAATAAACATGCAAATTAGACGGAGCGCAATCTGTAGGCGCTGATCCTCATCCCTGCTCCTGCCCCTCTTCCCCAAGCTTGCAGTGCCTGAACCTCCAGGATTGCAGCAACCAGGCAGCCAGAGGCCTGGCTCCCCCAGGCGGGAGGATTGCTGTTTCAAAGAGGGACATCTGGCACAGCCACCGTCTCCAGTGTCCTAACACTTCTGCACGTGCCTCTCTTCCTGGCTTTGGTAGTAGGTCTGCCTCTTGTAAGCCTCTGCCTTCCTCAAGTGACCTCTCCATGATGGAGGGTCCCCAGACAGGATTTATGAATTAAATTTGTTTGTTGTTGCTGCTGCTGCTGTTGTTTTGTTTTTAAGAAAAAGGCCACGCCTGGTGGCGGAAGTCTTTAATAGTAGCACTTGGGAGGCAGAGGCAAGCAATCTCTCTAAGTTCAAGGCCAGCCTGGTCTACAAAGACCCTGTCTCAAAACCAAAACAACAACAATACCCCAGGCAAAAGCCAACTCTAATTGAATCCACAACAAGGGGGTGAGGGGATCACTATCTGCAAAATAAAGTGACTCTGGCTTCTGCCACAGACTCCACCAATGGGCAAGCTTCTTTACTAGTTTTTTGTTTTTGTTTGGTTTTTGGTTTTCTTGGAGGTTTTCCCCACGGGGATTCCTCACCCAGGAGCTGCCAGTCCTGGATGCTGGACGAAAGCTGCCTTGTTACACCCGGGTTGCAGGGAAAGGGAGCGGGCGGGCGGGGGAGCGCAACCGCTCAGTCCAGCTCCGACATCTGTTTCTCATCTCGAGTGCTGTAGAGAGGGGAAGAAAGTCTTTAGCAAAGGGTGGGAAAGGCACAGAATTTTTTTTTAATCACACGCACACACAATAAGAAAACTAAATCAAAATTTAAAAAATAGACAAGACGTCTGGGCAGGTTGCAGTGAACGCTTCGCACGCTGCAGCCCCTGCCCCGGGCGGGCTGCGCGCGTGGGGTCCGAACTGCTGGCGGGAGCAGCCCGCGCGGCCTCGAGGGCGGAGGCGGAGCGGGGGCGGAGGCAGGGCGGGCGGGGGCGCGGCGCCCTGCGAGCTGGCAGAGCAGAGGGAGGCGGGGAGCGCGCTTGTCAGGTTCCCTCTCGCCCTGGGGGCATCCAGCAGAGCCCGGCTCGGAAATCCGCGGGGAAATGGCAAACAGGATTGACGGGTTTCTCGCGCTCCTCTCCAGACACAGCGGCTCATTTCCATAACCGTCTGCGGCGGCGGCGGCGGCGGGACCTGCGGGGACCTCGGCCGCCGCGCACCGGGCCACGCCAACAGGGCCCGGGAGGCGCGTGGGCAGCGGCGGCCGCGCGGAGGACGGCGGCGGCTGGAGCGCGGGGCGCGCGGTAAGAGCCGCGACACCAGGGCGCGCGGGGGCGGGGAGGGTCGCGCGTGGGGCCGGGGCGCAGCTGGACACAGCGGGGTGCGGGGGCGGCGCGCGCTCTCCAGGGCCGCGCGCCCTTCCCGGGAGCAGCGGCGCGCACGAGGCGACCCGGGCGGTCGGCGGAGACCCCCGTAGCAGCGAGTCGGTTGTCCCCGGGTGGCAGGAAGGTCGGCCCGGGGCCGGGAGGGTAGGGAGGAGGGCCTGCGGGTCTCAGAGGCGCGCGCTCCACGGAACAAGGCGCCGCTGCCGAAGCTGACACCTTGTGTCCCCCGCCACCTCCGCGCCCGCCCCTGCTCCCGGCTGCGGGCGGCGCTGTCCTCGGCTCACCTTCCCGCGGGCTGCGAGGCCCACGCCCCCGCCTCTGCCAGCCTTCTCGCCCCGCAACTTTCCCGTGCGCCCGGCCGCAGGAGCGGGGCGCCAAGGTCCACCCTGGTCCCAGCGGCGCGCACCGCGCGGGCGACCGGGGCTCGGCTAAAGACCCGGGCAGCTGCAGGCTGGAGTGCGGCCCCGCCAGCCGCCGTGAGTCATAGCCTTGGAATCCCACCTTGGCGTGTATTTCCCATAGAAGGAAACTTGGTTTTTAGGAGAGCGAATAATCATAGCCCTTATTCTTCAGGAGAGGCACTGGGTTTCGGTACCTTGGAAGACTACTTGCCTTTGTTCCCAGACACTTGGGCTGTTTACTTTTCCTTGCGGCCTGCGGCTGGCCGGACCGTGCCCTCTGTCCCGGAAAGGGGCTTAAGGGCATGGCACCAGTCTCCAGGGTGCGTCTGGGTAAGGGACCTAGCACCCCACCTTGAGCCTGGACTGAGAAAGCCGACCCTCAAGCTCCCAATGGGGAACCGCTAACCGCCCTAGTCCCTCCACACCTGCGTTCCCAGCCCCAATACCGGACCTAGATAGAGCTCTTAGCCTCCTGGGACCGCAGCTGGCCAGCGCACTTCCAGGGGCACCACAGGGACCTGCAAAAAGCGTTGAAGGGTTTTGTTGTAATCATCCAGCCTCTACCTCCACCATTGGGCAAAGCAGACAAACTGTTGAGATCCTGTCTGGGACCGTTTGGAGTCCGTGGGTGAGGAAGTCTTTTGGCTTCCCAGGTCAGAGCTCTGCGGTTCTCTGGACCTGCCTGGATCTCAGAGGTTCCTTCATGCTATCCAGGCTTGAACTCTGCCTTCCAGCTGCCTAGAGGCTCCTTTATAATGCTTTCTGTAGTTCCCAGTATCAGAAAGAAGAGGGATGATCCTTCTGCCGTACTGTTTTATGTCCAGTAGCCCGTTAGTTTCCTGGCACCTCCTTGAGCACCGTGATGGCTTTATCTGGAACAGCCAAATGGTATAGACATGCGTGTGTGAGGGAACGCTGACACTTGGCCTTCAGCCTTGTGCAGGGTGTTGGGGGTCATCCCACAGCATCACCCCAGTGACCAAACAGGGCTACAAGTTAGTGCATTAACACTCTCACTTTTAATCCACTCATTTCTGATCTTAAAACAAAATCTCTATCATATACATCACCGTGGCTGTATTCCTATGAACAATACGAACTTGAGAACCTGGATTTCTGGGTTCTATAGCAGAAGACCCAAGCTAAACATGGGTGCCCAGTACCCTACAGCCCAGTGTCTCATGAACACTACGCTTGCCTCCCTAATTGGCTAGCATTCGTGTGATTTCTAAATAGACCAAGAAGGCTCAATTGCAGACTCTCCTCCCCCCTCCCAAGTCGTCCCAGCTCATTCATGTTTTATTCCAGCTAAAATAAATCACTTGCAGAACCCAGCCTCTCCCATTTAGGATCTCGTGTGTAACAGTTTCTAATTTGAAGAAGAAAAACTTGTTGAAATTAGATGTTATAAACAAAAGAAGCAGCCACGCTAAAAAAAAAAACTATTATGCCACATTTCAAGTTCAAATCATAACGATGGAATTTCATATGTTGTGAACAATGCCAGCAAATAGAAGCCCTGAGAGCCTTAACAACAGAAATGCTGCTCCCCGAGTCATTAGAATTCAAACAAACTCTGACTACCAGAAAGCAGCCCAGGGCCCGTTAATGTCCTATTAAGCAAAGGTAATTGCTGCCAGGAGCCTGGCAGCTCCTCTGTCTTTAGGGGCATGGGTTTGTCAGCCTGCTTTTGTTTATATGTAGTAAAAGTTCTACCAGGCGAAGGTTTGCATCCTCTTCCCAGACCCCGCCCCGGAAACGGGTGTGTATCTCAAGCTGTCCCTTAGACTAGGTTAAGAAATTGGACGGCTTTATGAGCGTCTTGGTGAGTCTTTGCCTGGCTGAAGAGTTGGAGGGGGAAGAGACCAAAGGGCTGAGTTTGTTAAATTGACAAAGACAAAATTTCCTTGTTGATGACTGAAAGAGTAAAATAAATGACATCGTCCACCATTTCTTGATAGAGAATGATTTTACACACACACACACACACACACACACACACACACACACACTCCTCCCCTAAGGCATTTCTGATATCCCTTTAGGAAGAAAAATGGAAGAGTAGACTCCAGAGCCCAAGTCAGCTCTACCCTGATTTTGCCCCTTGCAAAATCTGAGGCAGGACTGAGGCTGAATTCGAAAGCACTGATGTTTAGAGAGAGACAAGCTGCTGCCAGTTGCTGCTCTGGTAGCCAGAAGACTTTATCACCTTTTGAAGCAAAGATCTCCACCTCCACCCCAGGAAGTACACAGGTGTCCTGGCATGTGGGAACTCATACTCTCCACGGGACAGTGACGGGTCCACCCTTGCCCCAGCCTGAAGGCCAAAGAATGAACTGGGTTCTTGCTGTGCCTGAAGGGAAATCCATCTTCAGCAAGCAGGCCTGACATCACTTCAGTCCTTAAAACAGCTGAGCCGTGCGGGTCTGGATGTCCTACAGCAGTGACTCTCAACCTGTGAGTCGTGACCCCCTTGGTAGTCAGACAGCCGTTTCCAAGGATCACCTAAGACCATCGGAAAATAGAGACATTTACGTCACAGTTCATAACACTGGCAAAATCACTGTTCCGAAGTAGCAAGGAGATAATTTATGGCTGGGGGATCATCACAGCATGAGGAGCTGTGTTAAAGGGGCACAGAGTTAGGAAGGAACAGGAATCAGAGGCTCTGGGTCTGCTCTCTGACCTATGGCCCCAGACTCTTCTCCCTGGAGCATACTGTTGACCCTGTCCTGAGGGTCAACCCTGAGCCCCACAGAAGTGGCCCTGTAGCCTGGATTACACAGGGTCAGAGTCTGGGAGCATCCCAGAGCATCAGAGGCCAGGCTGGCTCCCTGCAGTCCTGAGGTCAGGCTGGGAACCCGAGAGTGGAGTGTTGACTCTTGGAAAGTTCCTGCCTTGCATCTGGCTTTGCAGTGTAAAGAGTCGCTGGCTGCCTCTGCCTGGAGCCCTGGCTCCTGTTTAATATTCTGCTGCCTGGTTGATGTTGTGCTTGGCTCCTGTGGGACTGCAACTCACGGCTGGAAACTGGAGCCAATTTTCTGTCTTCATCTCGCAGTGTTTTGACTGGAGGCAGATCCAGTTCAGGCCGATCAGGGCTGTGGAAACAACTACCAAGTGTCTGTCTGCTTCACCCAGGGAGGAGAGTGTGTGGCCAAGGAGCTAGGAAGAGAAGAGCGCTGGGAGGACCCTAGGGACTTCTGCTTTGCCCCGCCCCCCACTGGTTAGCAGATTTCATCAAAGGGGACTCCTAGGGGCTTGAATAGAAAATTGATTTCACCTTATTAATAGGAGGCAGGCACAGGGTTTCTAGCCCTTCCTCTTAGAGGTACATTTGTAAGGTTGGGAGGAAAATGTGTTTGGGAGGCAGAGCAGCTGTCTGAGGGGCTGTGGGGAATCTGAGAACAATGAGGAGAGGACCCGCTCTGAGATGCAGGCTGCCCACTGCAGTGGCTACGCTGAGAGCTGTTGGAGTTTGCTACGGTGTCCTTGGGAAAAACAGTCTGCTGGTTTGGGATGAAGGGATGGGCAGGGAAAGCCTCCCAAGCCCAGGAACATGCCAAGGCTGTCCTCAGGCTAGCTGCGGGGCAGGGCTGTTTGTCTGTCCCGCCCACCCAACCACTTTTTTCTCCCCCCAGATCTAAGGCTGTCAGAGATGACGCTGGTTCTGTCCATGAATAGATTCTGCGAGCCCATTGTCTCAGAAGGAGCTGCTGAAATCTCCGGGTACCAGACGCTATGGGAGGCTGACAGCTACAGAGGTGCAAGCCCCCCAGGGCCAGCACAGGTTCCTTTACAGACAGACCGAGCAGCCAGCCCACAACTGGCAGGTACTGCCTTTGGCCTTCTCCTTAGGAGCTGGGGCTGGACTCCCTTGGGAAATCCTACTTAACTTGCTCCGCAGCCCTACCTGCTGTGGATGTCCTGGAACTTTTGTGTTTTTGAGTTTGTTTGTATTTTAAAGGAACTGAACCAGTTACCAGAAGTTTGGGTTCAGGCTTTCTATCCCATGGAAATGAATGGCCGTCAGGGAGGTACATGCAGGGCTCTGTCCCACAAACATAAAGGAGTCTGTGCCCCTGCCACAGCTTCAAGCTGCTCCTCTTCACGGTTGACAAGAAAATAGAAATATCTTCTTCTGGGCTTTAATTCTAATAGTCTCAAATAAGTTCCTTTGAGGTTTTATGACGTGATAGGTCTTTTTTTTCTTTTAAAAAGAAACTGAAATAAAAAATTCATGAAAGTCTAGTTTCTGAAAAGGTTTGAGAGTCCTCCAAGGAGGCCCTGCTCTATTCCTGGTTGGTGTGTTAGCATTTCCAGAGTGAAACCGAATTTAATTACTCCAGGTTTTAAGCATTACTATATTAGAAGAGCCATTGTAAACTCCATGTATGTGTGTATTTGTTTATTAACCCTGAACGTGCTTCATGCTCCTGCTTAGCAACCTGCATGAGGTGTCTGAGTCCGTGCTGGTCCCCCCCCACCGCCCGTGGATCTACTGTTTGCCTGTACGGTTAAGATCCCGAGCATTTAGCAGATGCCGAACGGTGGGTGACATTTTCCTCTAACGCTGCTTGGAAATCCTTACCTTCACGGCTCGCAGGATTCAGTCCGCTAGCAACCATGAAGACAAATGTTTGTTTTTTAACATTGCGTGTACAGGAAGGGATGTAGCCAAGCTCTCCACTAGAGGGAAAGGAAATGAAAGTATTTTGCTTGGCGAGCCTCTGGCAGGCCACGTGTCATTTGTCGATCTGATTTATTGTCACAGGATCACACTACAGGGGAATTCCAAATCCTGTCGGAGCATCCAAGGTCACATACTTCAAGAGGAAGTACACCCCGGAGGAGGATCTTCACCCCCCCCTCAGCAGCTGCAGCCACACAGTAGGTTTGAAATAGTTACTTTGTTAACATTTACAATGTTTCCTCACACTTGCTTCAGCCATTCCCAGATGTTAAATTGTTCCACCCAAGGGACAGAAGAGGGCCACTTCTTTGTGGGGCTACCTGGGTCACTGTCACTTGGGGGGAACCCGACCTGGACAGTTTCCCATCAATTCGTCACCAGCTAAAGTCATCTGAGAGGACAGAACCTCAAGAAAATGCTTCTGTGAAGTCAGGCTGCGGGCAAGCCTGCAGGGCATTTTTTAAACTGGTGATTGATGGGGAAGGGCCCAGCCCGTTGTGGGTGGGTGGTGCCATCAGTGGACTGTGGGCTGGGGTTCTATAAGACAGCAGGCTGAGCAAGCCAGTAAGCAGCACCCCTCCATGGCCTCTGCATCAGCTCCTGCCTCCAGGTTCCTGCCCTGTTTGAGTTCCTGTCCTGACTTCCCTAGGTGATGGACTACAGTGTGGGAGTGTAAGCCAAACCAGCCCTGTCCCCAAGCTGCTCTGGTCGTGTGTAATCACCCTGACTAGGACAGGGCCTGTGTTACTTTTCACAAATACTTGAAGAAAGAACCAGAAAGAGATCCTCCACCCAGAAATAATTCAAATGTGCAAGGAAGCTCACATCTTTTTGCCAATGGTTTAATATTCCCGGGCTCCCCTGAGGGCTAGGGCTGCTCCGTGTTAACACGTGTCAGGACAAATACTCGGCTTTCCTAACCCTAGTCTGAGCTCTGCCCAGGAGGCTGCTGCTGTGTGCTGGTTGGAGTGGTTGTCCAAGGGTTTTCCTACCTCCTGGGGGTCAGTGTATCGTCCCCTGGATGTGCGCGTAGAGCAGGCATGCTGTTTGTGATACATCCTGACACATGTCAAGCTTGTTGAAATTCAGAGCTAATTCCCAAGGAAGGACCAGAGATAGCTCTTTCTCTTCTCACACGAAGTAAGGAGATAACCCAGGGGAGCGTGCATGAGTGAAGAACTGGACGTCTAAGTGTCTGTTCTTTTTCCTTGGTGGTACCCTCCCTCCAGATCTCCTCGGACCTCATCCGTGAGGCGAGGCTGGAGCCCCGTGGGCAGACACCCATCTCCTCAGTTCAGCTTCCAGCCACTCTCTGCCCCCACCCCCGCCTTTCGAAGTTGCCTCTGCCTGTTGGTAAGGAGGCACCATGTTTATCTCTTTAATCTCCATGCTGTGTCTGTGTCGGGGATGTGCCAGATGTGTGGTGCATCCTGATATCCCAGCTTTTAAAAGGCAGAGCAGGAGGATTGCTGTGAGGGGAGAAAGTTCAGCACCTACCTGGGCTACCTGTGCGTTCTGGGGCAGCCTGGGCTACATAGCAAGGCTGTTTTTTGTTTTCGTTTGTTTTTTACAAAAGCAAATTAACAATAATAACAATTACGAATGGATCATCTTGTAAACAGTGACAGCCCCACACAGCCCAGCACCGTATCCGCATCTCCAGTTTCTGTCTTCATCTCTTTCCTGTCAGCTCCACAAGCCAATAGGCCCTACCTATCCCAGCCTCTTTAACTACAGTTTCCCTCTTAGCAAACGGTGTGTCGTAGGTGTGGAACCCCAGAAGTGTTCCTTGGTGGCCCAGTCCTGGCTTTGACATGTGCCCGTTAGAACCTGCATCTCGAATCTTTAAAAAACGTGTACCGGGGCTGAGAAATGGCTCTGCAGTTCAGAGCCCTGGCTGCCTTTCCATGTGAGTTCTATCCCTAACATCCATCTGGCAGCTCACGACTGACTGTGTCTCCAATTCCAGGGCATCCCGTGCCCTTCTTTGGCCTCTTTTGGGTGGGGCCTCATAGTAGACAGACACATTGGCAAACATTCAAACACATAAAAATAATTTTTCAGCCGATGGGGATGGCACAGCATGCAGGTGGCAGAGGCAGACACATCTCTGAGTTCAAGGCCAGGCTGGTCTCCATAGTGAGTTCCAGGACAGCCACGGATATATAATAAAGAGGCCCTGTCTCAAAGAAAGTAAAATAATGATAATAATATAAATCTTTTTTAAAAAATAGATACTAAATTCAAAACACTCTGCTGTGAAATGGATGAGTGTGCCTCTGCCCACAGACGTGTGAAACACAGCTTGATTCCATTTCCACCAGCACAAACTTTGTCACCAACAGCCAGGTCAACCTGAACCTTGCCTGTGCAGGTTCGGGTCACCTGCCCCCAGCTCCACAGCAGCTGCCGGCCTGACTTCCGGCAGCTCTGCTTGACGGTCTTGGTGTCTCCTTCGCTATGACTTAAAGGACTGAGCCTTCTGGCTGGGCCCTGCTGAGGTCCACCCAGTGATTGGATCTTCTTTGCCACGCCAGTGAGTCAGGACACAGCTGGCGATGGGACAGCCACAGCCGTGGGGCCAACCTCTACGTGGGCAACGACGTTTTCACAAACGTCATTTCCTAAGCCTTCTCCCGTCTCTGATCTTTTTTCAGACCATCTCTGTTTTTGAGGAGCGAGCCCACATCCTTTACATGTCCCTGGAGAAGCTCAGGTTCATCGATGACCCGGAAGTGTACCTGCGGAGATCCGTCCTCATTAACAACCTGATGAAGAGGATCCACGGGGAAATCCTCATGCAGAACAGCTGGTGCCTCCCTGCCTGCTCCCTCGGCGGCACCTCCGCCCAAGAGTGGTTTCTGGCCCAAGACTGTCCTTACCGGAAACGGCCCCGGGTGGCCAAAGAGGAGTGGGAGAAAGTCCACACTTGCTGTTTGTACCAGGAGTGTGGCGGCCACTGCCTGAATCTTCCCCTTTCTGTCAATGCTGGTGTTGGAAGCAATTCTGCTGCTGCCCCGGCTGCATCTCCCTCTACGCCCCCATCCTCCTCCTCCTCCTCCCCATCCTCCTCCTCCCCATCTGCCTCCTCCTCATCCTCCTCTTCCTCCTCCCCTCTGCCATTGCCTAGCTGTTCCCACCATGTGGACTTTGATATAGGCAGTGCCCCCATCTACAAGAGCGAGGGCCAAATACCTGCCAATGAAATTTTCGTCACTAACATTAGGTCACTTGGTGTCCAGGAAAAGGCCAAGTTCAGCTATGGGAAAGTAAGTCACAACGCCAGCAAAGACAGTGACGCCCTTGGCCAAGAACCTCTGGGGAGCGACCTTGACTTTGAGTGCAAAGGCCAATTCTATGACTATTTTGAGACTGGGTATAATGAGAAAAGCCACATGAGTGAGTCTTGGAAGAAGTCTTTGAGGAAAAAGGAGCTTTCCCCAGGCACCAAACTATGCTGCAGCAAAGGAAGTAAGATGTGACCGTCCTCCGCCGGCACGCACAGGGACACGCAGCATGACCAGCTTCTGTCTCGAATGGCTTCTGTAGTTTTGTACAACTGATAACAGTGTGCAGTGAACACTCTGTGTTGTCTTACCGCCTGGAGAGCAGACTGCACAAACGTCTGTACAGTAGGCATCCCAAGCCGCCTGTTAATGTGATTTTCCGAGGAAAGCCAACTTTGTGTTTGAAAGTTTATCTTAGTTTTCTTTAAAAAAAAAAAAATTAGTAGATTAGGTTGAGGACAACATGCCCTTGTTATAGTCCCACTGCCCCTCCAAGAAGCCCGCCAAATCAGTATAACAGCAGAGTTGTCTGCTTCTTCCTCAGATACAGCATTTCAATCTGAGTGAAAGCCTGAAGACAGGAAGATAGATGAAGGGTTTCATGAGTTGTGACGTGTTTGTATTGGACGGTGAGACAAAATGAAACACACCTGGTGGGCAGAGGTGTAGGAGTTGTGGAGACTGTACCCTGCGAGCTCCTCGCTTGCCTGTGCTGGGTAATGGGTGACTAAAGAGGTGTAGGGGCCGTCTCTGATGGGCTCTGTAGGGAGGTGTATATGGCCGTGTCTGATGGGCTCTATAGGGGGGAGGTGGACACAGCCGTCTCTGATGGGCTCTGTAGGGAAGAGGTGTATATCCGTGTCTGATGGGCTCTGTAGGGGGGAGGTGGACACAGCCGTGTCTGATGGGCTCTGTAGGGAGGAGGTGTACACGGCTGTCTCTGATGGGCTCTGTAGGGAGGAGGTGTATATCCGTGTCTGATGGGCTCTGTAGGGAGGAGGTAGACACAGCCGTCTCTGATGGGCTCTATAGCGGGGAGGTGTACGCAGCCATCTGCTCTGTAGGGAAGAGGTGGACACAGCCGTCTCTGATGGGCTCTATAGCGGGGAGGTGTACGCAGCCATCTTGCAGCCATCTTTGACCGGGCCGTCTTGATGTCATGACAAGGAAAGTGGTGTACAGGGCGATCTTGGGTGCCTTACTTATCTTAATTTTTGCCAATGTGAAAATTAAGGATAAATCAGAGTTACAGCAGGGATTTAACAAATAGTAAAAAAAAAAAACACACACACACAGGGTGGATCCATGCGGTTTGGAAACTTAACTTTGAACTATTGCGTTCAACTTTTGATTCACCATCCTCTTCTTCCTTTGTTTTTAACGCCCAGTGGCTGTGGGATGGCCATGGGCAGAGTGGAAGCGGCCTAGGCTCTTCCATGGACACCGTCGTTGGGTCTGGGCTTTGGGCTGTTCTGTTTCCTTGTCCAGTGACGTACACGGCCCGTGGCATGCATTCTGTGCGTCACACTTTGACCTGTTTTGCATCATTTCATGAGTTTAGACTCCTAAGAGCATGTGGTTTCTATATATGACTTTCACTGTTGATTGAGAAGCACAATGTTAATAGATGACGTGGTGATCAATACGTTTTTATCTTAAAGAATGTAAAGACTGTAGGTTGCGAAACGTTATTTTGGAGAAATGGGACTCTCCCGTCATTGTTACCTGGGTATTTGGCCAACACACTGCTCAAACAAGACCTTGGATTTGCACATTGCCGTGTGTACTCAGCGGCTCTCTGGCCCAGTCCGGCCAGCTCCTCCTGGTAAAACGTATTCCCGTTTCCAAGGCCAAACACTGGCCTACTTGACTTGGGCCTTCTAAAAACCATTGTTCACAGCAACCAAATGCCAAATGGAGGAGATAGGTAAGTCCTCCCAGTTTCTCCAAGATGAAGCTTTTTTAATTATTGCTATTAATATTAAATAGGTCTCATTCATACAGTGTATGAGTAGATCATTTGGGAAATTGTCCGCAAGGACCAATTTTTAAAACATGTTCCTATGTTATGGCTGAATAGTCTAGTAATGTTTTGTCCCTTATTTTCAATATTTGATGAACATTTCGGTGTTGAAATTTTAGGTGATAGATGCTAGTACATGACTGTGTTGTAATAAAAGTGGGGTTTTTCTTGATATATATTTATTAAAATGATCAAAAATCATTAAGTTTTTACAAATTTCATTTTAATGGCTATTTCTCTTTTCCACTATGCTCTCTATTTAAAACAAAACAAAAACCCGTCAGAATGTCTAGAGATGTGCATGGTGACCAGACAGGTGTTCGTTAAGAATAAGCCCGGCCCCGAACTGTGGGGGATGGCTTTGTGACTGGACGCTTGCGGAGATGAGGTCAATGAGCGGTTTCCCCTTCAACCCCGGGGAGGTCTAGTTGGAGGCAAATTAATTTGTCAAACATATCAACTGTATTATAAGTGTAGTGCTGCGCAGAGATTTAAATATGAAAGAATGGATTTGCCCTTTTGCTTTTTTAACCCCAGCATTTCCAGACCGTGCGATGATCTGAGTACATCCATCTTGGGTTATTTGGGGGGCGGGGGTTTAAGACAGAGTCTTAACTACATAGCCCAGGCTGACTCAAACCCCCACCTCCTGCCTCTGCCTCCCAAGTGTTGGAATCTAGGTGCTGATGAAGCCCTTGGAGTTGGCAGTGTCGTACAGTGCTCCTCTGAGCAGGAGCAGGCTCCACTTAGCAGAGTCTCCCATTCACGTGTGGGGATCTGTGGTTGTTAGTCTCCTGGGGTTTGTGTTAGGACATTGCCAGAATAATAATAATAATAATAACTCCTTTTCTAAAACAAAGAAAACGAAAGGCCCTATCCCAGCATTCAGATGACAGAAACCTTTTGTGGTCACTGTGAGCGTGTGAACACTTCCAGTGTAGCTCCTGACGCCCAGGCAGCCCTGGCCAGATCTCCCAGGTGCCCGAGGCACTCCCCAACATTGAGAGACCCCTTTAACTGGTTTCTTTGTGAAGTTCAGCCCATCACCCATATTAACAAGCCACATGTGGTGGCATACACCTTCTAACCCAGAACTAGTTGACCTCTGGCCTCCATAGGCACAGACATGTATATGAACACACAACCATCTACCCATGGATACACATAAACACAGGCATGAGAGCATAAACAAAGTGGTCCTAAGCTGTTAGTCAGAAGAACGCTTGCCCAGCATACACACGGCTCTGCATGCACACGGCCCTGCATGCACAAGGCCCAGCATGCACACGGCTCTGAACTCAATCCCCACCATTGTACACGGCCCAGCATGCACACAGCTCTGCATGCACACAGCATGGACCACATCTGTTAATCCCGGCTGGGGCGGTAGCATACAGCTGCACAGAAAGCATGAAGCCAACCTGGGATACTTGAGACATGGTCTAAAAACGGGAAAAAAATTCTGTTCCCCAACTGCTCCCCTGCAGCTCTGCTTCATGTTTGCAGCCCAGTGGTCCCTGTCCTTCCTCTCTGACAGTGGGTAGTTGCAGGAGCTGGATCTCACAAAGGCACTGTCTGCCCCAACTCTTATTTTTTTTTTTAGGCAGGAAACTATGCAGACATATTGGTCTCTAACTCACAGAGATCTTCCTGCCTCTGCCTCCCAAGTCCTGAGTTGAAAGGAGTGAGCCACCCCCAGCAACTGCCCCCACTCTTAAAATCCTGTTACCTGCACTACACCCTGAAACAGCCTTAGACATAGGATGCAGGGACCGGGAACATGGAGGATGGTGGATTAGGCATAGGATGCAGGGACCAGGAACATGGAGGATGATGGAAAAGCTTAAAGGAGTAGAAATCGCCATTTAATAACCTGTCATAATTAGCAAAGCATCTTTGAGGTAATCTTTCTAGTCCTGGAGACTTCGAAGGGTCAGCCTGCTGCTTTGTCACCAAGTGGTCAAACATGCGAACAAAGGTGTCATGCTTCATGCATGTTCAGGTGTGACCATGCTGGGTATCGGGAGTACACAGGAAGCAGACTACAGCTGAGCATGGCCACAGCCTCTCCAGACAGAAGCATGCAACACAGCTGCACCAATTGCTTCCTTCCTGAGAACCAGAGCAGAAAGCTTGAAGGAGACCCAGGCTCCAGGAGATGCCAGCGTCAGGGCTGAACAGCAGACCAGGGTGGCTTCCACTGCGGTTAGGTGTCCGTCTCCCTCATGCAGCCGAGAGCAGAGGAAGAGATGATCCCCATGTCTCTAATGGACCCCTAAATGAACTCGTAGTAGGGTTATCACAACTGGGCCAATCTTTCTAGGCCTCTGCAAAGCCAAGAGTCAGTATCGTAATGGCGTCTCTGTCCCACAAAGCAATCCAACAAAAACACTGAAGTTGGTGTGTTAGGTGGAAAAGAAGCCATGACTTTCGGCAATCCCTTTTAAGATTGCTGTGTGTGTGCTGCTGTGTGTGTACGTTGTACGTGAGTGTGCAGGTCACATATACACAGGGAACTTACCAGGCCACCTAAGGTGGGCTCACCCCACCCACTCTCCATTTTATCTTTTGAGACAGGGCCTGCCACTGAACTTGAAGCTCGCTGATTTGGTTAGACTGGCTAGCGGGTGAGCCCCAGGGCACCTCCTGCCTCTGCCTCCCCAGCACTGGGATTACAGGCATGTGTTGCCATGCCTAGCTGTTACATAGGTGCTCAAGAGGGAGCTGAGGTCCGTGTTTTGCAGCAAACACATTACTGACTGAGCCATCATTCTAGATCCTCTAATTTTTGAGATGGTGTCTCTCTGAACATGGAACTTCCCATTTCAGCTGGACCGGCTAGCCGCAGGTGAGTCCTGGGGTCTCCTGTCTACACTGTCTCCAGCACTGGCATTGCAGGTACCAATCGCCCCACCTGGCTTTTGACAGGATCCTCCTGTCTGTGTGTTGAGCCTGTCCCCCTCGCCCCAGCCCCATTGCTGTGAGCTGATTCCATGGTTACAACAAATGCATCTGGGATCTTGTCGCTTGCTACCAGGCTTTCTTGGAGGTGCAGTTGCATTGTGTGAGCACTTGACTAAAACCTCCCTGTTGGAAGAGGTGTGCTCCATGACCCGGGTGGGACTGTTTAGAATCAGCTTGTACGTTAGCGGGAGAACTCACTTAGGAAAGTTCTGCAAGGATGGAGCCATGAGTGCTTGAGTCTCACATCCTGCGCTGAAGTGCATCAGCGAGTGAGTTTAATAAAACATGCTGTCTAAAATAGCCTGTAATTTCCTGTGTGCATTTCCCCTCAGTATCTGCGACCGGCTGGAGAAGGATGACTAAACAGGGGACTCACACAGCCTAGTCTGCTGCTGGTCGCAACCCTTGCTGAGCGGCTGCAGCTTCTGTAAACAGCTCTCTGCTGGGCTAGGCCCCCCTCCCGATGTTGATCCAAATTTGTTAATTTTGAAAATGCAAACTACTGATTAATAGCTTGAAACACCTGCTTTTGACCACAGTGAAACTGATAAAAAATATGAAGATGAATGAATCTTTTTCATGTCATTTCCCTACTTCTCAGTCTTATTTTTTTTTAACTAGTCCCATGATTTAAAGTGACAAAAATTTGATTAGATGTTTTTATCTTTGGGGAAAACACATACGGAAAAGAATTGTTACAGATGGCGGGTGTGAATGGGCAGATGTCAACTTTGTGGGGGAGGAATCACACAGGTACCCTTTGCCTTGTGATTGCCCAGGCTAGCCTGGGCTCCATTCAGGCCATTCCATGGGAGTCGCTGAGTCTTGGCATCAAACGTGTGTTACTTGAACTCAGCTTGGATGCTTTGGGAAGCATCTGCAGGTACCCTCTGAGGTGACCCAAATGAAGTGAGCTGTTCTCTGTGTGATTCTGGCCTCCTTGCTTCAAAGCATGAATTGTTCTACAGTGTACCTGGGGCACCATTCAAACATCCCTACAGGAAGTTGAGAAACAGGCTCCCTGTGTGCCCAGGAGGAAATGTGAAGACAGAAGACAGGAAAGTATACAGAGGACTATGTTTTCTTTCCTTGCCTTCCTTTTCCAGAAAGAGGCTTGCTCTGTTCTCCAAGTCTGCAGATACCCCCGAGTCTCTCAGTGCTGAGATGGAGGTGTCACCCCAAGACACCTTCCCCCTCAGTTCAGGCACAGAGGAAAGGCCGTGACTTTTGTGTAAGGCTGGACTAGAGCAGAGGCTGGAAGTGTGAGGCAGGGTTTGGGGTCTGACAGCCTGGATACAGAGCCAAGCTCTTCCACTACAGCCAAGAGGTGTCCCTTACAAGGGAAAAGATATACTCTCTTATCTCCTGACTTGCCATGTAATTTGCCAAAGTTCAAGTTAATTCTGTTACCACATCCAATGGTTGGTTCATTCAGACATAGTCTTTATTCAGGAAAAAATAAATCCCACCAAAACATGGTGCTAAGTTAAACATGTCCGATGATTTCAGCTCAGTGGTCCCCTTTTGTGCCTGACTTCACAGGAGAAACCAAAGCAGCATCCTGAACAGTCAAAACAGCAGGGGATGGTGGCAGAAGAGGCTGATCTGGTCTAGAGGCTGAGTTCCAGACAGCCAGGACTACATGGGGAAAACCAAAAAAACTCTGAGCCCCTGCCCTATTACAAAGTAACTACGATATACTCTGTTTGTTTAAGTTTTATTGGTGGTAGGTTTTTTTCCCTTCCTGAGATAGTCTTTTGTCACTCAGACTGGAACTCACTATGTATCTGAAGATGACCTTGAACTTCTGACCTTCCTGTGTCCACCTCTTCTGGGATTATAGGCATTAGCCACCACGCCTGGTTTATGGTTTATGCCATGCTGGGAATCAAACCCAGGTCTTTGTACAAGCTAGGCAAGCAATCAACCGAGATACATCCCAACCCTTTGTTTTCTGCTTTGTAAGAGGGAAGTTTCAATCAGATCAAGTAGGCTGGACCCTACTTCAGACTCCCATCCCCTTTTATGTCATCTCTACTAAATTCAGCTAATGGTGTCAGATTAGTATGCTATTCACAGAAATCCCATTTTCACCTGTTTCTCAACTATGTAGTTTTCCCTAAGGTGGGCATACTTCTAGTGATGCTTGACTGGGAGGACTGGAGAGCAGAAAGGAGAGTCTTGTCATTGTA